CACGCGAACATCGAAGAAAGTATTGCATGTTTGGTATCGAAATGACGGGCAAACTTGTTTACTTTCAGCAAATTTGAGCTTTGGCACCTTCGGACTAACCCAAGGACCGCTCGGAGGCATTTTTCGACAGGCATTGAACTCAGTTCCAGTCTTCTCTAAGAAACACACGGTCACAGACGCCATATTAGTAGACAATGATTGTTCCGCTTCAAAGCACGCGCCAGCCTGGCGTGAGTTTGTGTATTTTCCTAAATGAAGAAGGCATATTCTAGGTATTTAGCATGGTTCAGTTTTGGTTTGCAATTTCACACACATTCTGTATTGCTGAAAATACATATGAATTGTTTCACATAGTATTTACAGGAACACAAAATGTCCAATGCCAGAACATTTCGTCATCAAGACGTGTTAATGCACAAACTTGGTGGTACCAATTATCACAGGTACCACACTGAATCCATTCTACAGTTTCAGCTTTATCATCTTTCGGGTCGCATTTTTTGCAGTAACCACAGAGTACCTTAAAGGAAAGATGCACCCAAATCAGGGCCCAATTTGAATCATGACAATTTTGAATTGCAATAAAACGGTATTCTGGGAGAAACTGTGTCTTTGTCTACTTTTACTTGAAATCAATACACAAACCTTTGATGAGCCTTTCTTTTTCCTTGTTTGGGCTGCCTTTGCTGCTCCCCTCTTTCTGTTGTCCTGAACAATCGTTAGGTGGGTAGACCACAGCACAACCTTGAGGTTATGAAAAATGATATTAGGTTTAAATCTATACAGTTGCCCTCTTCTACAGAGAGAACTTAATGCCTCTCGCCAAACTCAACCAGAACCTGGAACAAAGTAGCACTACATCAAAAGCTGCACAACACTGATTTGAACAAACAACGATTAAACAAGATCCTCTCATAACAATCCAAATTGTATTTCTTGTAGGCAAAATTTTTTTAGGGTAGAATTAATAAAAAATTGACCTAGAAAGTATCAAAAACTAAGATTATTTTATAAAGCACTCCTTGTCATTGTTTGGTGAGATTTGGCACAGGTTCAAGTCTGGATTTATCTTCTATGTCATCATGCCTAGAATAGGTCGTATTCCGCTTTCATCTAACTGATGTTTGTAACTGAGGTCCCCATTTGACCAGAATTTCATTTAACTTAACATTTGGAGTATACTAGCAAATCTATAAACACAAAGAGTAGGGCGGCATCCCCTGAAGACAGGTAGGTAAGAATTAAATTTTGATCTAAATGAGCTCTTCTGCGAATATTTCTTCTCAAAGCTGAAGGAAAAATACCTTCTGTTATTAGAACTTTTAAGACAGAGCACTGATGGGCATAAAAAACATTTTTGCAAAGCAACACGACATTCCTTACCTTTCGTACGGCCATCCCTCGCTCAAATGACCTCTGGGTATTTTCCAAGATGGCAGACAACTCACTCATTCCCAGTTCCTCTCCACTTAGATGGCTGTCAAGTCAAATTTCCACCCTGGGGGACCCTTGTGGATGTCTAAATCCCCACCCACGTGCGCTTTACGACGTCTAATTCCCGCGGGTTGCCCGTCCCCCTCCCCCCATCCTGGGGCAAACCATTGATTGGTGCATTACATGATGCTGGTTAATGTTATGTAAGATGTCATATGGAACACGATGTAAAACAATCTCTGTGCTGAGGAACTGCCGACAAGCCGATTGCAGATCAGGAATGTTCCTGATCTTTCAGACAAAAAACTGACCAGATTCGTTAGCTAGACCGGCAAGGTTCGTATGAGGTGGATAGAGTTCGTCACGAGATCCCCCAGACGGGCGGTTGACTGCATTAATGAGACTTTGGTGGCCAGTGTTATTCTCATTAATCAAGTTCGTTTAATAATATCCTCTTGCCTGCTCCGTTACATGATTTGCATGATTTCTCGCCCAAGTAAACGCCAATCTGTCTAATTCAAGGCCACTGGCTCTCTAGATGCGCTCATATTTGCAGCGTTCTCTCTTCGTTACCCTCACTTATTTACTTGAATCCCTTTACTTGCTTACTCATTCACTTACTTACCGAATTACCTACCCACTTACTAACCAAGCCATTGACATGGAGCTTTACTGGCTATGGCCAGAAAACTCAAAAAATGCAAAGAGAAGCTGATAATTGTGTTCGTAGAATATTTTCAAATTATTCAAGCAGTCTCTCGTGACGGAACCATTAACATACCAAAATAATTACAGCCCGAAAGAATTTCCCAAATTCCCCCCCCCCCCCTTACATAAACGCCTTCCAGGCTATAAAACAAAGTATTGTAGAATTCTTTAACTGATGTGAATTCGCACATAACCCCGACCCTTTCCCTATCGCTAGAACTCTCTTCCACTTTGAAATATTTTACAAGGCGAGATAATTGGTGACCAGCCAAATAATACGTTTATTTGAATTGATGAAATTAAGAATGTATGATAAGTTTTAGAGGTCAGAACAAAGAAATGAGAAAGCATCGTTGCGATAGAGAGAAAAGAAAGATCAGTTCTAATCATGTGATAAGCGTCATGGAAAGTAATAGTAACCATTTATTGTACTCGTTGTTCCTGTATGAACTTATTAAACTTACTCCTATGCATCCATCGATTTCTAAATTTGTTTACTCAACTTCTACAGTTGTTCTAATTTTAAGGAGGAGGCGGCGTGGCCGAGTTGTCAGGGTGCTGAACTTGTAATCCGATGTCCCGAGCTAAAGTCCTCTACCCTGCCACTCACAGGATTTGTTCTCGGTTGCCCGTAGTTCAACTCCTCGGCTGTGCTCTGTAAATAGCCCAGGCCACTGGTCTGCCTCCTCCAAGTGGGGATTTTCAAGCAGTTCAGTTAGTCTACATTGTGGCTGAAAATCCCTTATGGAGGAGCTGCAATTAACGTATTTATTTATTTTATTTATCTATTTTATGTTATCTAATCGCGTTTGTAAAGTTCATTGTCTGCTTAGCTTAATATTCGCGGAACCTTTTAAAGAAAGATTTCAGTTTTGAGAGTGCTATTTTTATTTGCACTATGAACACCGTTCTCATCACGAGGAGGCATTTAAGACAAGCGTAGGCAAGTCTTTACCAAGTTTTCTTTCAGTTTGTCCGAAGTCCATTTTCCGCAGATCCACGGTAAACCGGAAATCAGTGACAGATTTCTAACCTTCTGCTTGCCAGGCGAGTAATGCGACAGTAATATCTAAACTCGTGACAAAATCCTCAGACCAACAAACAGCACAGTTTTCTTGTAATTTACATTTTTTCCTTCCTGATATGGTTGTTAGTAAATTCATTGAGGAAAGATTTACGTTTAATACAGGCTTTTCAGAACCTGTCTGTTTCTGTTAACATTGATAAGGTGGCATGAAAATAGATGGGAAGTTGTGAGGCTCACGACGTCCCCATTCATTTTAATCCAGACCTTTTCCAACCACCTCTGTGTGATGCTTAATACAAAAAGTTCAACAAAATCAATGAACCATATCTCGATACAAGTATAATTTGCAATTTAGCGATCGAATCCTTCGATCAGTTCTAATTTTTGAGAAATATGTTAGAGCATTAAGGGACTTTTTTTGAGTTGACATAGCCTCATCTTGATACACCTAGCACCTAGGGTTGGGAGAATTCTAGAAAGAACCGGGGAAAGTTCTCAGTACTGCTTAAAGATCAAGAAGCTAATAACTTAGGAACTGAACAATATTTTCAAACAGACCTGCAGGTTGCTTCTTCGCTAAAAGCTTCATTTCTCGCGACCCAGGCGATGATTAATGATAAAATAGACAGGAAGTCTTCAAGAAAAACTTCCTTAAACGCCATGAAATTCTATATACAAACAGAAAGTAAATTTGACAGCATCAATCCCAGAAGTCTTCGAACACATACTAAATTGGTGACACACACACAAGTCACCAGGTGTGCCCGGCTGGGATCGGGGAATCTGTCATGATCATGGCAGATATCTTCGTTTTAATTTATAAAATACGCCGATCGCGACGGTCATATTCGCCGCGATCGGTAAATAAAATCGTCAGGTGTGTCACCGGGTTTGTGTCCGCTACTCGCATTTTTTGATCCCTCAGCTAGGTTCTGTTCTAAGAATAAATATAACTATAAATAATTTTATGATTCATTGGGATCCGGAGAAACCGAAACGAGTAGGAATCGGAAATATTTCTGCTTGAGTATGTTACAACTAAGGACTCGTCATTTCAATCCTTATCCTTCACAAACGGAAAAATTTCCAGACATAATTTTTCTGTATTTCATAAAGTAATTTTATACATTTCACTGAAAGGCTTCCATAGGTTCTGGGTTAATTGTGTTTAAAACAACTTGAGTTATAAATCGAGCATGTTAACCCTTTCCATTCCATATTTTAACCATACATTCCTAAACCAATCAGAACCTCTGTCTAAAAGGTCTTTCTTATTCAATAGCCAATCAGTTTTCGTGATAGTTCCACCCTAATATAAAGCTAGTGGTGAGGAATTAGTTCGTTCGGTTATTTGTAGCGATGATGTGCTAAAGGGCCTAGTTTACACATCTTTGGGCATCAAGGACATTTCTGAGATGATTCGTCATTTGAAATTTATCTTTGTATGGATTTCACTCATGCCTCAACTCACAGGTATCGCAGTTAACCTGCATTTGTGCTGATATTTTCAGTGTCTACTTTCTTCTTTCGTATCAGACCCCGGTTCACCACAATGCTAAATTAGGATTGATTTTAAATTGACAGCAGCAGATTGTTGAAGCTTAAAGATTTTCAACGATATTTTAATTCAAATTAGAAGAAAGCCATTCTTGTTTAAGTGAGATCGAAAGCATGACTTATTGTAATATAACTTCGATCTAAATTATTCCTCCTCCAGATAGCGGAAATGTGACATGGAATGAACCTACCCCGGTTAAGACAACATCGAATCCAGCTGAAGTGCTCCCCCCTGGCATTGTACATGTTTATGAAGGGTCTTCTGCTACACTGAACTGGAGCTACAGCCTGTCTTTAGGTCTAGGTCTCGGTGGCTTCTTGAGATTTAGCAATGTTGGCATAGTCGACATTTATTCAGATGGTTCAGCTGGTCCTGTCATTGACAGTTTTCAGAAAAGATTCATCGTAACCTCAATTCTAGGAAGAATATCTCTGTCTATCTCTGCAGTGACTCTAGCTGACGATAAGGCTAATGGAGAATTTAGCTGCAGTTTAATTGATAACAATAGGGATACTTGGAAACGAGCAATTCAAGTACAAGTCCTAGGTAAGATTAAAAGTGTTGCTGACTTTTAGAGAGGCACACCTTAACTGTAACGTATTATTATCCACGTGTCATATTTGGCTTAGTTGAAGTGTTAGAGTTTCTCAGCGCAGTAAACCGACAACAAGCCTTTCAACGAATTCATTTAATTAATTGGACTTAATGTTACTAATGTTGTGCAAGACACATCTCATCTTAAGGCAATTCTCAATGGCACACTTTGTTGTTGTTGTCACCTGTCCTATACAAACTATATGAGGTCTGCAAAAGGAGAAATAATCCCATGTGGATGAAACAACGAATATATGCAGTAAGGGAAAAAACTCAAAATTAGGATTCACGTCTAGATAAAGGAGAATAAATGGATAACTCATCAGAGGATTAAGATATCGAAAATTTCCTCACAGTAATCTTATGTATTCATGATAACATTGAGGCAAAACAACATATAAACTGCTGTGTTATACAAGGATTTTCAGCCCTGAAAAAAGGTGCAGCAAGTTGCAAAGAGATTTGTTAATTTTCTCAGAGGTGTTTGATATTGCCAATCAAATGTTGACATGTCACTTGCCTTTTGTGCCACTCTGTCATGATGATAAATGAATGGGAAAGCCTTCACCTTTCTCAATCAAATTTGTTTTGTCAAAATTTTACAGACTTTGGCAGTTAAAAGAAAAAAAGGTGAATGATAATTTATATTTCAACTCTCTTTTTTTTCAACTTAAAAGCAGCTTAAGCATGCCACTGCAAAATTTAGTGAATGCTGATAAAGTGTGAGCAGTGCTAATCCCTTTTGGTGAGACTATTTGTCATTCCAGGTAGAAGGTCTTTACTTCTTGTGCCAGTCAGGCTTCGTTTTTGTTTGGACTTCTCTCCTTTCTACCTTTCTCTATTCACATTCTAGTTTTAAATGCAGAGAGAGAGCAAAGATCTCCACCAGCCACCGAAGTTAGCAGATGGTTATGTGATTGATATTCAAGGATAGAATGTTTTGCCAGAAGAAATCCTTTCAGAAGTCATTTATGTTGACATGCTATAATTGGCTATTCACTCTTTGAAAGGCTAAATAATTCAGATCTAAAATGTTTTTTTAAATAACTTGTGGGCATTTTAACATTTTCCGAAACTTTTTGGAAATTATTGTTAATAATATAGTAATGCATGCTTAGTTTGACATGATAAAAAAAGGGAAAAGTTGCATAGGGTTAGTCATTTCCACATAGTAACAATTTTGATGTCAAGTTTTAAGCAGCTTGAACTTGCTACAGCAATGCCCTCTGATGTTGCTGGTTGTGTGCCAGCAAGGAAATTGCTTATGAGTGTAAACCACAAGCCCTTATCCAATTCAGAGAGACTTTTTTCATTTCTCTTGAAATTTCTCTAAGTTCTTGCTTTGTTTTATCTTTCTCCATTCACATTCTACTTTTATATGCAGATGTTTAGCAAAGGTCACGATATAGAACTGAAAGTAGGAGATGTTTTTGCAATGAAATCAAGAACTGGGATGTTTAGCTGCAAAAAAGAAAATCTCAGGAGTGACTTATGTTCACAATATAGCTGGCTACATTGTATTGACATTTTGTTGACCTAAAGCCCCTAATAATTATTTCAAAAAAATTTTTGTAAATAGCTCCAGAGGGTCTCAATATTAATTTTCACAAAACTATTTCCTGGAAACTGTGGTTAAAATATTAATGCTCAGTTAAGGCTGAGAAAAGGATTCCAAGAAATTAGTTACCTTTTGAAGATCCACCGAATTTTTAAGGTAGACATTTGTGCATAGTGAAGCACTCATTTCTTGTATTTATTGCACAATCATGGTGTATGTGAAGTTCATTTGCATGTGGAAGGCTCGCAAGGAACATTTAGAATTGTAGCAAAAAATGTACATGCCTTTCAGTTATCCTTGAAGTTTACTTGTGATTGTTTGAATGCCCCAGTTCCAACAAACATCTCTGGATTTAATGGTAGTACAACAGTTCTTGAAGGCAACAACTTGCAGTTAACCTGCGTAGCAGTGGGTAGACCAGAACCAAACATCACCTGGACCAAAGAGGAGACAGGGAACCAAGGAAATACTGATGTGTTATCAAAAGGAAAGGTGCTGACCATAACAAAGATCAGCAGGAATGATTCAGGAACATTCAACTGTACAGCATATAATGGTTTTGGTAAAGCAGAGAGCCAAACAGTTTACGTAAAGGTTACTTGTGAGTATGCATTGAAAAAAATTTGACTATTAAGTAAATGTTGAACAGAGATGCATTTTCCATTT